GAGATGGCACCGGCTGGTCATTTCTGTCCAGTGTAGATTATCAAAGCGCCAAAAAAAATCGTTTCATGAATGAATAACCCAGACGCGGTCTTTGGTAAGATGCGGATGAGTGAGCGGGATCCGAGATGAAACGCGGGGAGGAGATGCGGACTGGATCGATCTATCTTAAGCCACATCCGGGCGGGACAAGATCCAGCATCCTGCAGTTAGTGTCCGGCTTCAGCCCGTGTCTGTGGAGATTTTACCACGGCTCACACTGAGTAAGTGAGTGATTGAATGAGCAGGAACAAAACAGTCATGTTGGTCATTATTGACAAGATACTGGCAAGACACCACTTGCCGTGGAGAAGGAGTCAGGCAGCAGTAGTGAAAATCAATGAAGAAAATCCGCATACATGACTTACTCTCAGTCTGAACGGGTTGGGGCCAGAATTTCCAAGTCGCTGCTGAACTTTCCTATGCAGGACATGGCACATTGGAGGCAAGTCTGGCAGCGTCGTGGAGAGACGTGCGCAACTAGAACAAAAATAGCACGTGGCCGCAATTAAACAAACTTGTGAAGTAGCAAGGCCGTGGAAAGGAATAAGTTCTGCCATGGCGAGCATAAAGGCGTAACAGATCTACCGTTTGATGGAGGGTCGTCCGCCTTCGATTTAATATGCAATAGGCCGCTGGTGTTAAAAGATAGCGAATAGTAGGCAACTCATCAATATTTCACTGATGACAATAACCCATGCTAAACCCGAGAACTTGTCAACGCAAATAAATATAGCCGCGTTTATATACCATAGTCCTATGTCGACTGCCCCATGTTGTTTGTTGTGAAGAAAAAGACCCAAAATGCCAACCCCCAGTCTTTACTTTCCGACTTCCGTGCTACTACGTCCGCAACTGAACGCCATACTTGGCCCAAAAAGAGCACCTCTTGTTCAGCCGGTCTCCAAAGGGTTCCATCTCCGTCCTCCCGCCGGTCTGGAAGACAAGCCGGTCCTGTGCACCGCCTGACCAGGCCTTCCACTCGGCCACCTTGACCTCGGGGTCGCCGCCCTGATTCGGATCATAGTATTGGATGAAATTTGTCCAGTACTTCTGGATCGCCGGCGACGCCGGGTAGTTGATGCCGCCCTTCTTGTAGCTCTCTGGCGGACTTGGGGCATATTCTGGTCCTAGGATGGCATCAAACTCGGACGTATGAGGAACTCCAAGGCCGGCCTTCATTTGTGCCTCATCTTCCACATTCCACCTATAGGCAAACGAGTTTGTAATTCCGGCGTTGGCTAGAGCAGAAGTCATGGCCAGTGCCGGGCACATATACCGCACCTCTTGGTACGTATTACTGGCTTGTCTCCAGTAGCAGCCCAGCTTGGGGCACGTCTTACTCGGATTGGGGTACATCTTGTTCATCTTCTCCAGAAGACGCAGCGTTAGGAACGGGTAGTTGTCCAGCATGAATGAATTACTCTCCGCGAGAGTCGACGCGTTTCTGGGAGCAAATTTTGTCCCGCCATTGGTATCGTCGCCAAATATAGACGGGACCTTGATGAAGCGACCGTCTTGAATCAATCGATACGTGTAATCCGTCAGGTACTCGCCATCAAGGCAGGGCACGTACAAGTAATTGGGCGGATTCGCAGCCCCCGGCAGCGGAATGTTGAAATTCTGCTCCTGCAGCTCGCGCGCCGTCTTGTTGCGCAGACAGGCCAGGCTGTCGGCGCCCACGCATCCCAGTCTCGTGGCAAAGTGGCGATACAAGTACTGCGACTCAGCCACGGTCAAGGTTGTTGCGAAAGAGGGCGATTCCGCCGTCACGGCGTGAAAGTATCCTCTGTCCGTACCATTGCGCGCGGTGAGGTGAATTACCACGCTCTCAGCGCCCGCCGACGATCCCCCCAGCGTAACATGATTTGGGTTCCCTCCGAATTTGGAGATGTGCTTTTGCACCCACTGCATGACTTTTTCCTGGTCGCGGAGTCCGTTGTTGGGCGCAATTTCTTTCCCATCGGTAAGAAACCCGTATGGACCGACACGATAGTTGAAGCTGACAACCACGATATTGTGGCCGCTGGCTTGTATGAGCCCCGAGGCATTGATGTTGGCGTTGGAGTTGAGGTTGAACCCACCTCCTTGGATGTATAGGAAAACAGGCAACGAGCCAGGTTTCGCCCGGGACGGGGACTGCACATTGACAAAGAGACAATCCTCCGATGTAGTATTTTCGGTTGGGGAATGGCCAGTTGCGAGGCAGTATTTGCCGTGCTTTTCATATAGTTAGCCAACGTTTTGCATGTCTGGATGCTGTTACGAGGAATTGTAACCACAGTGCTGTTCAGCATGCACAATGTCTCGCAGTTGAATCTTGTTCCTCTTCGAACACGGCGGTTCCAACATACCTGGTCAGCCATCACGACTCCATTCGTGTGTAGCGGATCTTGAGGCGGCTTAAATCTCAAGTCTCCCACCGGCGGAGCTGCATATCTCATCCCGAGCCATTGTGTTATGCCATTCGACAAGGCGACACCTCTATATTCGCTGTACAAAAGGTCAACCACTGTGGACAATTTGGCAGAAACTTCCAACACCAGCAGTGCCGAAGAAAAAACAAGCCGCAAGTGCATCATGACTGAAAAGCAACTTCACTGGCTCATCTCTACTAAGCAAACAATCTCCCCTTATAAGAACTCAGGGGAGGTTCATTACAAGTACGAGCACAGATTTCACTGAACAGCAAGAATGGCAAATGGCGATGAAACTAAAGAGGGAACCACCTCCTCATATAATACCCTCAAGCCGGGATTTGCACGGCTCAAACCTCGCACATGCATCATACATATGTAGGCGAGCCCCCGCCCTCCGCCCTCCGCCCAAGAGGATGAGCGCAGGACGAGAGGAAAGTTGGCGCTAACAGACTATGGGCCTCTAGTTAAACAATGACCGGCTTGTCAGACAAACGGGGAATAGGGATGTCGGCTTTCGGCACCGGCGTACGCCACCACATCAAGCCTGGGAATTTGCCAAGCAGGAGGGTATCCCGGTGGATATGTGAAATATTTATTGTCGCCATTTAAGCTTGGTTGACAAAGTGAGATGGATATGAAACTTGCCCATTCTGTTCCGTTCATCATTCGACATATACGGAGTAATAAAGCGGCTCAACTTCGACTTGACCAATAGCCCTCACAACAAGAGATCTTGGGCACCGGAACATCCACCATGTGGTGACATCCAAAAGAGGGTGATGGAATGTCCGTTGTTGTGCCGGGATCTTCCCAAGGGTCCGGGCAACCCTTCTCCCACCATGCGTCCCAAAGGGGCAATTTTACGTGCCGAGCACTTGAGCCTGGAGCTAACACTGGAGCGCTTGTCGATGCTGGGCTCCCAGAAAGGTTTGATCAAATACCCCTGCTTTGAGTCTCAGATTTGGCGTGGCATCGCTGTTGTGGCGTAGAGATGGACAAAGACTAGGTACGTCGCTGCTCGGCTCTCAAGATGTGAGAAGCTAGAGCTTGATTTCAACCATTAAAACGATTGAGTTGGAGCTGCGTACGGAACCAAGTAGCCGTGGTGGCAATGATGGCTAGAATCCGAATGTCTGAAACAAAAAAGTAAATCAGAGTCAAGAACCCGTACGTGGTCTTAGATTCTGTGGCATCAACTGGACAACCGATCAGAGCGCCTCATAATACCAAGTGCAATGGCTGCCGGATTTCTCTTAGGAAGTCGCGGGGAGCATCTTGGCATATTCCTCCTTTAGAATTTGATCAAGAAAGACATCAAATCTCTTGCAGGTCGATAAAAGAACTAGCCAAACCTTGCCTCGGCTTGCAAGCTATTCAAATACGGGGCGTCCCATTTCGACCAAGGCGCCGGTGAAACTTGTATGATTTTGGTAACGACCGGATTTGTCCGACACGATTCAGACATCGAGCACTTGACCACCAGGCTGGAGACATGGTAATGTTTTCGCCTTCATCGTTCTACCCGTCGGCACCTCGATCAGATCATCATGCTTGTCGGCACCTAGTATAGCGTAGGAGAGCTGATCATGATTCGCGCCGCGGAACGCGCAGCTAAAATAGTTGGTGCAACTCGTATACCTTTTCCTTTCAATGCGACAACTTGTCTCGGGCACCCGTGACCTCAACGTCAATTTTGACGTATAACGAATCGTATTCGCCACTGAATGCTTCTTGAATCGAAGTCTCCCGGCCTAGAACGCATCTTCGTACTTGGCCTACTGGCCGACCAGTCAGGTTCAGGAGGAAAGTCTTCCAAACCTGCGCCTCAACAATGCCACCATGTCCAGGACGCTGGAGCGCGGCAGAGGGGGCGTCTTTTGAGACAAGGACATGATTTTGCGGGTGATTCTCATACGTTCCCCAAATATATCGTGATCAGGCAAAGGTGCAAAGCGTGTTCGTGTGCTATTCCCCCGAGGCTGTGAGGAGATAGTAGTAACCGTTGTATAGGTGCAGTTCCTCGACAAGACCCAAGGCTATGCCTCGGATATACTCTCTCTTGATTAGGTTGCCTTTTTGCGATGAATTCTTGACGGGATATTACAGCGAAAGCGCACGGCCATTGGCGATGATCCCGCATGGATCCCGCATTATGTTGACGGACCATTTTTGTCCGTCAGAATCGTGTAATAGTGAGGAATCAACTCGGGATGAGTTGACAATTGTTGGGTCCCAAGGGGTCTCTATATAAGCCCCTGTGACGATGTAATAGAAAGCATCTTTGAAAGAGCCGTGTCTGCGCTACACGTCCATGTGGACGAGCCAGAGTTTTTCGCCATCATGTGAGAAACAAAAGGCCCGGGCACCACAACTACCAGGATTGCCTCGCATGTCCAGTTCGCTTTTACGATTTAGTAGACACTACATGCTTCCAATTTGCAATATCTGTAGAGTGATGGACTTGTGCACCAGGAAACCCCATTAGAGTGTTGATTTAGCCATATGAGTATGTTTCCCCTAATTACAAAGAATCCCTCCAACGGCTTACACAAACTTCACATTGCCAAAGTAGGGAGTAATGTGAAAGCTCGCTTTGTTGGGGACACTCCACGCGCCAAGTTCTTGATCAGGATACGTCTGAGGGCTGACAACGGTTCGGAAGAAGTTCATCCTCCACTGTGTACCCTTTGCCTGGCCTTTGTCGACATTGAACAAGCCCAGGGGAATCTTGACATCGCTCACCCACAACTGATTCGGCTTGTCGAGCTTGGTCACAGCGCTAAACCCGTCGGCAGGAGGGTCTGACACGAAGAAGTGGTCAAAGGGGGCGCCATCGGCGCGAACTTTGGACGGGTTGTACACAAAGGCTTGGTAGGTGACGTTGTTGGGGTTCACTTCGAACTCAAAGTAAGTCTGCGGGTTGTCCGTGCCCTTGTATATGAAGGCCTCCATGACCTCGTACTCCCAGATGTCGGCATTGGTGCCTTGGGACGAGTTAAAGTAGAAGTTGACCTCGTCGCGGGCGGTGAACTTGATGTCCAGGTGAGTGTCGGTATAGCAGAGGTCAACCTGGGTGCGAGGGAATGGTTTGAGGTCGGGGACAGTCTTGTCGTATTTGACTGTGCCGACGCCGCGAGAGCATGCTGGGACAGTGACAGAGGGGACTTTGGGGTCGCAGTTGGCTGAGGTGGCCAAGACGGACGAGGCGAGAGCTGCAATCATGAGAAGACGGGCCATTTTCACGGTGGCGGGTGTACCTTGATCTCGATATATAGAGGGACTACGGAGTAGGCGACGTGGGTGTCAGAGTCGAAGAATCGATGGGAATGTCGGCAGCCTTTTATTCCAAGGCCGGGCTTCACGATTCGGCTTCCTGTGAAGCTGGGGTTACCGGAATGAACATTCCCAACCCCGCTCAGCAATTGGGGTAATATCAACAGGGATAAGACGCAGAACAGGTCCAGTTGACGACTACTTAGCTGCGAGAGGTTTTGTGAGAAGCTCCGGAGCCTGCTATTGTTTTGTTTTCCAGGCCGGGGTATGAGATTGAGCTTAGTACATCCCTTGAGGGTTGAGCAGACTGAAGGGATTGTGGGGTTGGGGTGGCTTGCCGTCCGATGTGACGTTACTTAAATGCAGTCAATAATTGCGTGCACTTCGGGCATTTGCATGGGACCGGGGGAATGGCAATGAAGAAATCGGAGGAATACTCCGTAGAGGCGCGTGAGTTATGTGGTGGCGACCACTTGGGAATTTGCACTCTGGCATTGCGTTGTAACCACGTCAATGTTTTGGTTTGAGATTTGCAGTTCAAAAAAAAAACATGGAAGGAAGAAGGAAACGTCTGCTGGCCGTGCGTACCGTCAAACAGAGGGAAGGAGCATTTCCAGTCGGGGTTGCCTGATTAGCCAGGACATGGGGATGAACGGTGCACGCAGCACAACCATCATGCCATGGCGACTCTTCTTTTTAATTGACTTCCTCGCCCTTTCATCCAACTGCCTACTCTGCTTGTGCCGCCTTTGCAGCCGCCTCCAATGCCCTATCCACAGCCGCCTCCAACTCTCCTCTCCTCTCAATTCCCACACTCAAACGAACCAAATGTTCGACAACGCCAAACTCTGATGCCCATGCCAGCTCCGACGCATGCGCAAGCACCGTGTACGGACAACACAACGTAAAGTTGGTGCCAAGGCTTGGTCCCTTGGCCACGTCCAGTGCATCGTGAAAGGCAATGGCGGCTGAATCCTGGACGAATCGGATTGAAAGCAGATAGCCATATCCTGCTTGTGCCTGGTCCTGTCCGTCCTCGTCTTCCCTGGCTCGTGGTCGTCTACGTCGGTAACCATCGTACAAATGTTGCGTCGCGCTGCCCCTGGGATAGAATACTCTGTCTACAACCGGGTGGTCTCTCAACTTGGCGGCTATCGCCGCGGCGTTTCCATTAGCAATGTGAATCCGCTCCGCAAAGTCCTTGCTGTTTTGGGCCATGACAAGCAAATCGAGAGGAAAGTATATGCCACTGTATTGGCTTGTCAAAGTGCTGTGTAGGGCACTTTTGGACTTGGAGTTTGGGCAGATGGTCAAGCTGCCGCCCATGACGTTGCAGGCACCACTGAACATTTTGGTAAGGCTTGTGCAGAGTACGTCGCAAAAGGGGGCGAGGTCTAGATTGACTGCTGTACCGACAGTGTCGTCCACGATGACGTGGAAATTGAATCTCTGTGAGAGCTTATAGAGACGTTCGAGGTCGAGTGAGCCGAGGAGAGGGTTTCCTGGGAATTCGGTATATAAGGCATGTATTTCCATACCGTCCTGGAGGTCGTGCTCCAACTGGTCCATGTCTGCAGGGGACGCATGTCCGTAGAGGACACACTCGATTTGTTTGACTTTGCTGAGAACCTTGAACGTGTCTACGTATAGGAAGCTATTGTACTGGAGTGAGCCGTGTGGGCGCCTTAAGATATGCTTCTGGTGTTTCTCCGCTTACCCAAAAACAGCAACTCGAATTGAGTCGGATGAGCCTTTATACAACTCTTGAAGAGCAGATGCAGAGTGGGCTATTGCGGACATGCCACTTGGATATAAAAACACATCCTGCCTCTTAACCGTGCTGCTCTCTGAAGACAGCAACTCAGATATTCGATTCCTAATCTGGGTTGCGGCTTGTTTTGCATCGTCGAGCGGTAACTTGCCGTCTTGACGGATGCTTTCCACCACTTCACCAAGACAAGGCGCCTGTTCCAACCAATAAAGAGCATGTCGGCTCGTAACTCCAAAGCCGGTGTGTTGCCAGAACATCTTGGCTTCCTTGGACAGATCATGTGGGAACACTACGACACAGAGGCTCTGGAATGCCCCTGAAGTTGACTTGGCAGCTCCGAAATGGATATTTTGCACTTCACCAGCAAAGTCCACTTGAAAAGCAAAGATTGCAAGCTTATTTGAAGGATTTGGCCCAGCCCGCTGCAAGTAATCGCGACAAGAGATGCCCAAACTTGCGTGTGGAAATAGCATAGCGGCAGCTGCTGCTCGCGACTTTTCCCCATATGTCTCTCCGACTGAGCTCGCCACTGACTTACTCTTCATCAGTAATTGCAGCAGCAATGTAGCGAGTCTTTCGACGAATGGATTAATATAGAATCTTGGGTATCCCGTCTTTAAATGTGCAAGGACCTGGGGATCTTTGGTTGCCCAACCCGTAGCATCTCGCCATTTCGGAAGGGACACGCTCACAGCCTGGCATTGGGGTTTTCGTCAGTAAATATCTTTCCAAGTTTCGATATGGACTCACATGTATGTCGGTTGGCGGTAGTCCCTGACCCAGCTCTGCGGTTTTCGGCTCTTGCGCCATGCCGATCTACATCAAACAATTAAACTGAAATATCGCGGGCAGCTTTCCATGGACGAGGGCATCAACGATGGCCAAGCTACCCAATAGAAACAAGGGAAGCACTTGAAACGGCATTTCTCGGAAAAATTCAGAACTAAGCAAAAAAAAAAAGCAGCATCATGTTCTTTGCCAAGCAGCAAAGGGCTCTGTACTGCCGCTTTCGGCTTACGCAGCGCAATCGGCGGCTCGCAGTTTATTATCATTCGATGTGGAATACGATATGAAAGATAGACGAACACCCGATTTGACATGTCACACCTCATACGGCATCATTTCCGAATCACCTCCGTGTGTAACAAAGACGGATCTTGCCACCAGCGTAGTATCTCGCGTTTCACATGGATGGCCGAAACGGACATGGTGCATTTTTTTTTCGGGGTACACTGCATTATATCGTCTTGTATTCTACAAATCGATTGCTGATGATGTGTGCTTCACAGACACTTGGGAATACGAGTTGACGTCGTGCAACTGCTTATGCATGCCCAAACCGTACTCGCTGCCTATGTATTCACCGTTGCAGTCCGGCCCAATCCCAAGTCCTTCCGGTGTGTTGTCTGCTCTCAATCCTGTTATTCCAATATTCGACGCCTGGCGTGGGGTTCTCAATGGACCAGTAGTCGTCTACTAGGAAGAATTTCTTTGCGGCCTGCTTCCTCATGGGCTTCTGGGATATGGTAAAGGGCACTTGCTCGTCGTCGCCCAGAATGCGAAGCACCACTGGCAGCGTGTACGTGGCGTGATTTTCGGAGAGATCGGACCGTATCTTTGCCAAGGTGACCTTTTCGTCATTGTCGGTGTTTTGTACGCGAACAAGCGCGCCACAAATCTCGTTGGCCTCGTGGTCCGGCACCGCGACGATGTAGCCTTCTGATATATACGGGAGGTCATCCAGTGCGTGTTCGAGCGCCAATATGGGGATTCGGTACCCGTCAAAGAATATGTCTGGTTGTTTGTATTCGAATCAGTGGCAAGGATCAAAAAAACATGTCACGTCAGGGTGGGGGATATACATTCGTTGGAGGCCCGCCCGTCGTAGACCAACTCGCCGTCTTGCATGTGGCCAATGTCCCCGGATTCCAGGTATCCCTCGCTGTCAAAGGCCTTTTTGGTGGCGTCCTCGTCCCCGATGTAGCTTTTCGCGATTACGGGTGTTAGCCTCCTTTACGTGACCATGTATTTGAGATATATTCTAGACATACTGGGTCATTATTCTAGGGCTCTTGGCAAAGATGGCGCCGCTGTCTCCATTGGATAACTTGAGATCAATGCCCGGGAAAGGGGTTCCAATGGAGTACTTCGATGCTCACGTTCGATTAGACTCTGCGGTGGGATTCTTGATCGAGGGACAGAAGCTCAGACGCACCTTGATCTTGGAGAGTCCGTCATGTCCTGTCACCGTTCCGCCCAGCTCTGTAGATCCGTATTGCATCCCGATCGGTCTTCCGATGAGGTTTCGCCAGAAGTCCAGCATCGAAACCGAAGGCATGCCGCCGCCCTGCCATGGCGTCTTCAAATTTCGAATCCCCTCCACGTACAGTCTCTGCTCATCTTCGGGAAACTTGCAGATTCGACCCTGGTAGTCCTGCTTCATGCGCCGGAAAATGCCAGGAGTAAAAGACATGTGGTCAATGCTGTGGCTTCTAAAGGCATCCCATATATCGGAAGCCGTGGCGCCATACTTGAGAATGTACACGCGACGACGGACCAAGACGCTTTGCAGCATTGGATAGGCTCCTCCGATCCAGTGAGGCGGGCGGTCGCTGATGGTCGCGCTTCCCGGCTCGACTGTGTCTTCAATTGGGGGCCATCTTCGCGGGAGAACCGCCCCCTTGGGCGGACCGGTGGTTCCCGACGTGAAGATGACGAATCCAGGGCCGCCGTCATCTAGTTCGATGGAGTGGTCGATGCTGATGGAGTTGCTGGCGACGGGTGGCGCATCGGTTGATACGCGAACGAGTCCGAAGTCGTAGTCGTGTTGTTGACCGTACTCCTTGGTTTGCTGTCCCTGGGCTACTCTGTCCTTGCCGAGAAGCAATACGCACGCCTTTGATCTGGAGAGGAATGAGTGCGCTTCCTGTGGTAAGATGCCGGCCCCTATCGTGATGAATTGCATTAGTATCAAACTGGTGGTGCATGTTGGACCTTACAAGACACTGTACCAAATGGCATGCATGCGCCGCCTAGGGCTCGTGTGGCAAAGAAGGCAACGATAAATTCGTATCCGGAGAGTCCAAGGAATCCTACATATGGTGCAGCTTCATAGAGCATGCCGCGGCTGTCGAGACTCGATGCCGGAGCGGCTTTGCGAATTCTGTCGCGAGTTTCCAGGATATCCGCCAACATCTCGCCATAGGTCTTGTCTAGACCGTAGGCATCGTGTACTATAGGTTCGGCTGTAGAGCCGCTAACCTCGACGAGTTTGATTAGCACATCATCACGAGGGAAGCCCTGACACCAGTTTGGGTCCATGATGAGACTGTGCTCCGGAAACTATTGTTTTGGAACTCGACGCAAGTCTGTCTTGAATGGCCCCCTTTAAAGTTTCTGAGTGGAATACTCCGTATATATAAGTCATAATGACAATTCATATTTTATTTTCGCCACCGTTGAAGCCTTCCGAATCTGGTGCGCTTTACATATGCCCAATGTATATGTACGTGGTTCGTTGTTTTGTGTCACGTTCGGAGAGGACCGACTTTGCTGCAGCCATTTCACCCCATAAAAGTGTCACATTGCTTATCCGAGAGTGCGTATTGGTGCCATAGTATTACGCTACTGTGGCTTGGTTTGTTTTCCACCCAGCTTGCCTGTAGCTTTCAGTTGTACAACCCTCAAACACGCCATTGTGATGTGTTGCCCCTACAGTATCTGCTGCATACGTGGCCGGTTGACATTTCCATTACGCACTCGAGATGCAGGACTCCCAAAATGTCGGCCGGACAACGATCAGATCAAGACTGGGTGGGAGGTTGCATCGCGCTCTCCGGAACGAGGTTCACTCGCGGCCCTGTGAAGTTCTTCCGTCCATCTACGATCCATTGAAAAACAGATATTGTGATGATGATGGCGAATGCAACAATGCAGTAATCTGTAGTGGTGATTAGCGCGACAGGGTCATGGTGTTTTGGCAGGCCACCTACTCATATTGCTCCCCGTTACAGGGAGCCCGGGGGGGAATAGAAACAATACCGTGGTAAGTGAAATATATGACAGTGAAATGCAGTCAGCGGTCCATCCAAACCACCCGGGTAGCTTCCACTTTCGGTCCGGCAGAGCATTGCGACCCTGAATAAAATTTACAGCAATGGGCATTGCATATGATAGATCAAGGGCAACAACAGATGCCGAGATGATGGCATTAAAGGCGCTGTATGACGTCAGTGGTTTTTCCAGTGTTCAAGGGAAAATAAAACACGTTGTACCTGGTTGAACCTAGAAATATCAGACCAAATAGGATCACAATAACCGAGGTGAGGATTAGAGCGTTCAGGGGAAGTCCGAGTCTGGTATGAACCTTGGCGAAGAATTTCGAGGCAGGCAGACCACCGTCCCTGTGTTGCATCAGTCAAAAGGGGATATTTTCAACAGATAGATTGTAGTTGGCTTGGGTCTGGTCGCGCTCGTACCTTGCAAATGCAAAGATCATTCGGCTGCTAGTTGTCATTACACTGAGCGTTGCGAAGACAAGACACACCAGCGGTAGCCTCGCAAAGATTAGCACAAATCGGTGCCATGACGGCTTGATGAAGACTTACATCAGTAAACATATGGCTCCGGCGTTGCTTTTTGTCGCATGAATCAAGATCTGAAGCAGCGGACCAGCGCTGGAGCTGATGACGTCGTCGATGTTCCCGGAGACGAATAACAAGACAATGAGGAAAATTGCGCCGGTGAATGTGCCTATTCCGACACAGACGACCATGATTTTGGGTCCCTCGGCGGCAGCATGGGGGATCTCTAGGTACACATAGTTAGAATGTCCGATGGGTACGGTTGCGCGGCCGGTTAACACCTACCTTCAATCATGTGTGCGACCGCATCCTACGTCGTATTGCCGTCAGCCGACTCTCTTCGTTGCATTCTGATAACGGGATACTAACAAAAGCAGTGACGCCAAGTCCGCCTTGGAGAAGCTACATCACATCAGCCCAAGAGGTCTAGTACGCAGATGGAGGAAGACTACGAACACCGAGCAACCAGGCAATACCATCAGGCCCTGTTCACCCATTAGTTGTTATTTATTCATTTGCGCGTTGAACTTGTTCATCCTGGGATGGTATGTCGAAACTTACAGCCTGTTTGGTTGATGAAGTTGCAGAAAACAAAATAGGCCGAGTTAAAATCGGGCGACGCACATGCCAGGACAGTAATGGACACGATGACGAAGCCACCAATGGACCACATGAAGGCCCCGTGGTAAATAACAGGAAGAAGCGAGTTCATGGAGGCATTTATAACGAAGCCCAGCAAGGTCAGTCCGATGTAAATCAGGAATTGGTGCCATCTTTGCGGGTCGTATGCCTGGATTCTAGTTAGGAGTTGACTTAGTGAGAGAATGTGAGCCATCTCAAACATGCCGGATGAAGAGCGGAAATGATTCCCACAATCAACTGACTGGACAATAAAGCGTTTGTAGCTACCAGGGCAATCTGGCACGGGATCCGTTAGTTTTTTTTTTTTTTTCTTTTTTTCTTTTTTTTTTTTTTTTAATAAAAAAAAAAAGATGGAAGACGACGGCACCACAAGACATACCCATCCCGCGACGTTGATCCAGCCAGTAATCCAAGACAGTATAGGAACCCATTTAGGCCAAGATACTATTCACATGTTAAAAAATGGAGGTAACGGCAGCATCCTCTTTGCGGTTGATTGTTCGTACCGACTGAATTCTTGTTATACAGCGTGGTTCATGTCAATGCTTCGCCAACACAAGGTCTCAACTTACCAGCCACCCAATGATACTGTCCACCAGCCCTTTATTTTGCGTTTGAACAAATCAGCACTGTGATAGACAATGTCGCTGACAGGGGTTCAAATGTACTTACGTGGGATAGGCGGACAAAAACTCAGCCAAAGAGGCTGCAATGCACAAGTTGCATACTCCGGCCGTGACCAGGCCTGCATTGTGCGTGTCAGTACATGCCGAAAGGGGAACAATTCGAGTTTGTCGAGCAACGTCTCAAATTCGGTAACGGTGCCACCTACCCCAAATGATGCTCGTGCTTCCCCCGGACGTCAGACTGACTGAAAGACTTGCCGATAGGGCTGTCCACGACTACTCACGACTCGCCGTTAGGTTTGAGCTCCCGTGTCCGTGGCTGGGGTTGGTTTCTGGAGGTGTCTACTGACATTTAACACGGCAAAGGCCAGACCCAGCATAGACCTGTATCGCACGGCTCGAGTCAGCTTGCATCACGATTCACGACCAGGCCTCACGAGTACGTACAATGTAGAAAAGTTTCGCTGTAGTTCGGGCCGATGACCCATCGCCGCCAACTGGGCGTCGTCTTCGTGCTCGTACCCTTCCTTCATGGTCCTGTTTTTCATTGTTCACGGCACTTTTCTTTTGTGGCGTTTCCGAGATGTCGGTTCAGGGACGATTGATGACGGCACCAAACACAGTTTGAGTTGAGCAGTGGGAAACAAACGGAGAGATTCAAGACCCGTGTCCGCCACGTTTACTGAATTGCCGGCACGCGCGGAGAACCGAATGAGAGACATTTCGGGCGCCGTCCCGGCCCGTTCTTGTGATGCTGATAGTTGGGGATGAATATGCAGCCGGAGAGACGTAAGGGTGATGATCGATGTAACCCGATTCAACCAATGACCAAGCCTAAGGGCACCATACTCATTGAGATAGCACAGCCCTGAGACCCGAGATACGGGGGCTAGTTTGGCCAAGGAGAGTCTGGTCATCCGGGCTGTGATAAGCGAGTAGTAGTATTTACAGTCCTAAGTCTATGTACAACTATTGATGATGGCTGCGGGGAAGTGGGCATTATGCCGCTTCCCCTCAAAAGCCTATTAGTTCATGCCACACAGAATGGAGAAGCTAGTCCTGCAGATCCGGCCAAGTGGAGGTAACTGGGATCCGGCGAGGTTAAATAGACTTATGCGCGCGTTTGTCCAGCATGACATGGTGCGGCCGCCGCCGTTGACCAGCCTAAGGGCCGAGTCGGCTCACATTGTCGAGAGTCAAGACCCAAGACGCATGGCCTTGCATTGCAGCCAGATGCCCACGGTTCCTATCTCTTGGCGTATGGCGTACGAAATGCATCGACTAGTAGTTAGTTACACAATGGCTGGGAAGAGTCAAAATTGCTGAGACACCCGACTCCCCCCGTCGGGAAGGGTTCCCAAAGACTAACCCAGTTCAACTTGTTGATATGCAGCCTTGGCCTGTCAACCATCGCCTTGCCCGATACGAGTTCCCTTCCAGTATTTGGTTCGTCCATGACCCGAGTTTCCAGGAAGAGCCGGTACAACACAGCAAGGACATGGGGTGTTTTAGCAGGGAAAGAAGATAGCCGTTCGAATGTGCCGGAGCATTTTGTACATGCCGAGCGCAGCAAATGTACAAAAGGACGCCGATTGCGCTCATCTGTCTAGTTTAGCCGAACTCGCCTGCTCCATGTCTACATCTTGCGCGCGTCAAGATGCATCTACAACATTCCACCGCACTTTTTGCCATTGCGGCGGTTGGCATTCAGTCGGCTCGTGCTCATGTTGCGAGATCTGCTCCCAAGGATGCGACTTGCAGAAAAACCAGCGTTGCCATCTTGTAAGTCGACCATGACTTGTGACGAGCCATCGTTAACACACATTCAGGGGCGGCGGTATGGCGGGCATAACCGCAGCAGTATGTCGAAAGCCCTCGCTCCATGCCAATCAACAAAAAAGACTAACACATTAACGCCAGCAAGCACTCTCAAATAACTCCATCACCGACTTCGTCATCATAGAGTACAATGACCGAGTTGGCGGCCGTGCTACACAGACCAACTTTGGCAAAAAGGAGGATGGCTCACCTTATGTGGTTGAGCTGGGACCAAACTGGGTGTGTGTCTATCATGACGGAGTCTTTCCCGCGGTTACCATCGAGACTAATAAACTTGAAATCAGATTCAAGGTCTTGGCCGTCCAGGTGGCCCAGGTACGTGGTCAACCCTTTCAGCTTTGATAACAAGATAATAACCCGAGACGTAGAGAACCCTATCTGGACCTTGGTAAGGACCACTTGATCACGCAAAAAACGTAATGCGGTGTTTCCCTATCCATTGTCAGCTAACGCCCAGCCCCAGGCCAAAAAGTACAACCTGAAGAACACCTTCTCCGACTATACTTCCATGTTGACCTACAATGAAACTGGCTACACTGATTACAGTGACATACTTGACGAATATGACGAAGCGTGGACCAAAGCATCCGTAAGGGCCGGCCGTATGCTCGCAGAGAATGCTCAAGACGAA